CAGCTGCATGCCTCCCTCTACCCCTCTGCTGCCCACACATGGTGGGCACCATCACATTGCACCCCACATCGCTTGCCCACAAAGCCCCCCACAGGGGGGCACCCCTGCCCTCACCCCCTGGCCCTGCTTCCAGCTATGGTGTGCCACCTGGGGCTGGCAGCACCCCCCACTCCCTCAGCCCCTAACCAGCTTCCCCAGCCCTGCCCCACAGCCCCCAAGCCCCACTTAACTCTAGTATCCAGGGGTGAAGGGCATGGCTTCGCAGTGGCAGCGCTTGCCCTCAAAGCCCCCCCACCCTGCATGCAGTCACCACCACCCCACACCACCGCGGAGCTGTGCAGCCAGTTGCGGGGCATGCCACTGCATGCAAGCACTCTGTTTCACCTCCCAGCTGGATGGCTCATATGTGACCCGCACACAGCGGTTGCCATAGCACTGCCACTGCCGCACCCTGCACCACTTGCCCACAAACCCTGCATGGTGGTAGCCATGGGATGGTAGTGCAGGGTGCAGTAGCAGAGTTGCAGTGGTGGCCTCTGTGTGCGAACCTCCTGTCAGGCCAGCTGGCATGTGTGTGGCCCACAGTGTGGGACCCTTGCCCTCACCCCCTGGCCCTGCTTCTGAGAGTGGGTACATGGACACACTCCCCCACTTCATGATCTACCCCGCCAGCACCTTCCCTTTCCCCTGCCCTGCCCCACCCCTTTCCCTCACACACACTTACCTGATGGGGTGGGTGCCAGTGTCTGTGTCTGCATGTCTGTGGGTCTGGGGGGCTGTTGCAACTGCTGATGATGAATAAGTGCCCAAGTGAGTAACTCCCTCCCAGCCTACTTTCACAAAAGGTCTCAAAACCCCACTGCAGCAGGGTAAAGTTCACCACTTTCTGAACAAATTCGAAATCTTTTTATCCCATCTCTTCTTCCAGACTTCCTACCAAATTCTATAGCTTTCATCAAAATATGAAATTGCAATTAAAATTACTCTTTTCCCCTCAGGTTTTTCTAAAATAGCACCTTGTATCACCATTCTCGTATTGTGGGTTATTCTTCGAAGTTAATTTATAATAGGTCAGAAAAACATAAGATTTTTGCAACAATGGGTACAATAAAGGCCTTTGACTCCTGTTTTACTTCTTGCTTTCACTTCAGAC